CCCCCCCCCCCGCCGCCGTCCGCGTGGGGCCGCGCGATGAACGCACAGGTGATTGCTGTACTCCAAGACAAACTGCACCGGGTGGCCCTTCTCCACGAACTTCCGGGCCTGCTCGATGCGGTACTTGGCGTCGGACTTGCTGATGGTCACGCTGAAGCGGATCTCCTTGGTCTTGAGGGTCTTCTTGATGACGGCCTCGGCCTTGCGCGCGCGGCTCTTGGCGTTTTGGATACTGGCGGTCGAGCTGAAGTCCACCTTGTCCTGCATGAACATGCGAGCAATCGGCGGCCGGGCGCCGGTCTCCGACGTGGACACCAGCACCAGGTGCGCCTTGATGCGCCGGCAGAAGGACAACGCCCGGGGGGTGTCCACCTCGCCGAGGTTTGTGCCATCCGGCCCGATGAGGATCACCGGATTGAAGCGGATGCGATCATCGCGATAGAAAGTACGCATGGAAAGCTGCGAGCCGCCCGCCGATCGGGGTGGTGGTGGCGATGGACACCGTCAGCAGGCAGTCACAGGGCGTCAGTCAGGCGAAAAGAAGCGCCTCGAGAAGGCCGAGGGGAGCGAGGGCGAGAGCGAGAGCGAGAGCGAGAGCGAGAGAGAGAGAGAGAGACAGAGACAGGCAGCGAGCACACGCACCGGGATCGTGTTGAACGTCTCCTTCTCCACGCGCTTGACCATCTCCTCCTCATAGGCATGGAGGGCTTGGTAGTCGCGAATGACCGGGGCGTTGCGACGCTCCTCGTCGCGCTCCGCGCGCCGGGCCAGGATGGCCGCCTGCTCGGGGGTCACCTCCCCGCGGAAGATGGTCTCACTGAGCTCGAGCTCCTTCTTGCGGGCTTCGAGGAACTTGCCGAGACCCCGGCCGCGAACGGGCTCCGCCTCGGTGGGCTTCTTCCGGCGCTTGGTGTCGGCGCTGGCGGCCGCGGCCGCCGTCGCGGAATCTTCAGCCGCCGCGGCCGCCGCGGCCGCCGCGCTCTCGGCAATTTGCTCGGCCAGCGCCCGGCGAATGGACGCCGGGTCCATGCCGGCCTTTGACGGCTTGCGCAACAGGGCATCCGGCACCTGATACACCTTGGCTTCCGGGATCAGTTGATCCTGCTGGCGGAGCTGCTGCAGGGTGGCCGCCCGGACGCCGGTGGGCTTGGAGCTTTTGGCGGAGTCGGCGCCGGCGGACGAATCACCCGGGCGAGTACCGCCGCGGGCGCCGGGCGAAGAGTCACCCGGGCGGGTGCCGCCGCGGGCGCCGGGCGAAGAGTCCCCCGGGCGGGTGCCGCCGCGGGCGCCGGACGGCGAGTCCCCCGGGCGAGTACCGCCGCGGGCGCCGGGCGGCGGGTCGCCCGGCCGAGTGCCGCGAGGGCTTCCCAAACCGAGGAGCTGCCGGCGAAGCTCGTCGCGTTGCTGCTGCTCACGCCGCGCGGCCGCCCTCAGGTCCTTCGCGTCGATGAAGTCCTCGCTGGCACCACCCCGCCGGCCACCCCGCCCATAGTCATCATCACTAAAATCGTCATCATCATCGTCATCGTAGAAGCCCCGGCGGAAAAAGCGGACGGGCGCCATCAGGCGGGGCGAGGGGTCCACCCCGGTCTGGGGCTGCTGGAGCGAAGCAATCCCCAGTGACCGGCTGGTCGCCAGGGCGGCCACCCTCGACACAAGGCTGAATCCCTGGAAGCGAAGCATGGCTTTGGGCGGGGGAGGGGATAGACGAGGCGGAGACGCGTGTCTGGGGACCGGGCAAATGCGAGGGAAAGGAGAACCAGAGGGGGGGGGGGGAGAGGGGGGCGAAAGCACGCGGAGAGAGGCGAGAGATAGAGAGAGAGAGAGAGAGAGAAAGATAGCAGGAGGGAAAGACCGAGTGTGTGTCTGTCTCTGTGGGTGTGTGAGTGCGGGTGGGGGTGGGCAAGTCCCAAGAGCCGGGACCCACGCCGCGCCGCGACAAAAGCCCGCCAGAGATCTGCCGCCGCCCGCCAGCCCCCCCTCCCCCCGCGCCGACCTCGGGAAGAATCACTGGAGAACCCGTCCGGGGGGAGGTCTGTCGGCCGTCCCCCCCCCCCCTGCCCAGCACGACGCATGCATTCGCACTGACGCACGCCGCGCCGCCACCGGCGCCCCCCCCCCCACACACACACACACATACACGCACACACACACGAGAGCCCCCCTCCTTCGGGCGTCGACCAGAAGGCCCGAGCGCGCGCGCGCGCGCGCGCACGAGCCCAGGCGAGCCAGATCGCCACAGGTGCCAACGCCGAGGAATGGTATTTCGGTTGAACATGGGACCCGCCGAGCGGGGCGTGACCCGGGGTCAGAGGCGTGACCGCCAGGCGGCCAGGCCGTGCACCAGCGACCCGGTGCGCGCCAGTTCCGCGCCGATCTCCTGCAGGAGCGAGCCCCCCCCGGTGGCTGGATCGGGCTCCGAGGAGCGCCCGGCGCCCGGGGCCGCCAGATGGATGCCCCCGCCGGGCAGGACAAACACATTGAAGGACAGGCTCCGGCCGGCCGGGTCCGGGAGGCTGGCGGGCTCGCCCTCGGCGGAGGCCGGCGACCCGGTCGACGGGTCGTCCCCCGCGAAGAAGGTGACCCCCAAGGACAGGGACATGCCCAGCAGCAGGGCCGCCTGCTGGTCGGTGAGCAGCGCATCGGGGCTCTCGCCCCCGTTGGCGGCCGCCGGCGGCAGGTCGCCCAATGAGGCCAGGTCGGCCGACGGGCCGGCCAGGCCTTCGGCCGGCAGCTGCGCACACCCCAGCAGGATGCCGGCTCCCCCGGCAGGGGGAGCCGGCCGCGAGTGCAGCCGCTGCCGGCCATCGGCCGAAGTGGCCACCCGACCGCCGGCCGGCAGGCAGGACCCCACCAGCCGATTGAAGAGGACCTGCTGCCGGAGGATGTGCACCGCCACCGGGGCCAGGACCGAGGAGGTGATTTGCACGCGACTGATGGCCAGGGCCATGGGCACGGCGGCCGGGACCGCCGGGGCCGCCGACTCGACGGGCAGCGCGGCCAGGAGGTCGGCCGAGATGGAGGCCGAGATGGGCCCCACCGGGGAGGTGGCCTTATTGAAGGGGAGCGGAGGGGGCGGGGGCGGGACGGGGGCGGGGGCGGGGGGAGGCAGGAGCGGGGCGAGAAGGGACAGAAGCGAGGCGAGAAGGGGCAGGAGCGGGGCGAGAAGGGGCAGGAGCGGGGCGAGAAGGGGCGAGAAGGGGCAAGAGCGGGACAGAAGCGGGACGAGAAGGGGCAAGAGCGGGACAGAAGCGGGACGAGAAGGGGCGCAGCTTGTCAGCCTGGGGAATGCCGGCACAAAAAAATAGCCCGGGCCGGGGGAAAACCGGGGGAAGGCAAAAAAAAAGGGAAAAGAAAAAAGAACACCAACATCCCGCGCACCCCCTTCAGGGCCCACCAGACGAGGGGCACACCCGAGCTGGCCGGCGTGGCGCCCGGCTGGCCGGCCCCGGGGCCCGGCTGCCCGGCGGCGGCCGGCGTCGACGCGGGCACCAGGCCCCCCTGCCCGGCCTTGCGCAGGGCCCGGAGGGACCGCCGGCCAAGCAGGGCCCGCAGGATGCCCAGCAGCTCGGCATGCGGCGCCTCGCCAGGGCCCGAGGCCGGGGGACCGCCAGACCGGCAGGCATCGCGCGCTAGCAGCGACCCCACCGCCGGCAGGGTGAGGGCAAAGTTGCCGGGCCCGGTGCCGGTGCTGACCAGCCCCTCCGGCTGCTCCGGGGTCAGGTGCAGCGGGTCGGCCAGGCGGCTCAGGCCACGGGCCAAGCGCGGGACGACCGGCACCGCGGGCGCCAGCAGCAGCACCGGCCCGGCGGAGGCGGCCGGGCCGCCGGCCGGCGTTGCCGACCCCGGCGGCGGATACACCATGCGCAGCTCTCGGACTGGCCGCCCGGGGCCGCCGCTGGCATAGGGCCACAGCAGCGGGCATGCATTGGCCGGGGGGACGTCCACCCGGACGAGGGCGACCTCCTGGGCGGCCAGATCGTCGGCACTGTGGCCGGGGGGGACCGAAAAAAGAAAGAGCAGCGGGGCAGGTTAGAGCGGGGCGGGAAGGGGAAAAGAGGGAGAGAAGGGGGGCGGGGGAAGCCCCCCAACAGCACGGCCCCACGCGCAAAGGCACCTAAACGGCGGGTCCACCGACTCGAAGAGCGTCCCGCGTGGGGCGGCCGTCTCGGCCAGGGCCGACGTCGTGCCGTCCGGCTGCAGGCGGAAGACGCTCGGCAGGCAGGCCCCGGTCTCCTCGACACTGGCGGTGAAGGCGAACTCGGCCTGCTCGCCGGCGATCCGCTCGCCCGGCAGGGCCGGCGCCGAGAGGAAGACATATCGCGCCTCGAAGCTCGAGGGGTCCGGCTGGCGGAGGCCCACCAGCGACTGGTTGGCCGCCTGGTCGGCCGGGGCCCCGACAAACAGAGCCCACCGCCGGTCCCCCGGGCTGGGCATGCTGCGCCAGGCAAAGATCAGGGTGTCAGCATGTGGGCCGGGGAGGCCATGGCCACGTTGCGAGCGGGGGCGAGGGCGGGGGCGGGGGCGAGCGAAGGATGGCGCGCAGGTGCGCAGGGGGATCACGGGCGCACTCGCGGGTCTTGGCAGCCAGGAGGTCCAGCTCCGCTTCGAGGGACACGCGCAGGGCGGTGATGTCGCAGAGATCGCGCGCCGGGGCCCCGGGCCCCGGGGCGAAGGATGCGCATGGGTCTGGCAGGAAGGCGTCCGACAGGACCAGCTTGCGGAAGCTGGCCTCGATCGCGTCAAACCGGCCATTCCTGCGCGTGCAGACGCACGGGCGAAGGGGGGCGGGGGCGGGTTAGCTCGCGGCAGGGCCCTCGCCGAGGCACAGCGCATGCCATGGCACCGGCCGAAAGAGACGGCGAGTAGGTGCGGACGCACGCGACATTGAACGAGAAGGCGGACTCGATCAGGCGGTTGGCGCGGACGCGCCACTCCGGCGGCGAGGGGTCCGTGCCGATGGTGAAGGTGACCGTCGGGCCGGGGAGCGTGAACTGCCGGGGCCATGGGCCGGGGGATTGGGCGCGTGGCATTTGGGTCAGACGGCGGCGGACGAGACCCCCCCCCCCCCCACCTCGCTCCGGTCTGCCGGTCGGCCCCGGGAAAGGCACGTACATCTAGCACCCAGTTGGCGCTGAAAACCGTGAGGTTGCCACCATCGCCGCCATAGAAGGACCCATCGGTGTCGAGCCTGGGCAGGGAGCCGGAGGACAGGGGGCGGGTGCACATGTGCGACTGATTAGCAGCCGGCTCGGCCGGGAGGGAGGGGGGGGGGCGACAGACAGGAAGCCGGCCGAGGCAAGTGGACCCGGGCAGGAGGATCGTCGGAGGGCGTACTTGAATTGCCGGGCCAGGCGGATGAGCTGGCGCTCGCGGGCCAGCCAGCTGGGCTGGGCCAGTGGCCGCACCGCCTCGGTCGAGGCCAGCGAGGTGGACAGCTCCGGGCGCGCGTGATTGGCGTCGATGCGCGCCTGGAAGAGGGCTCGGCACTCGCTGAGGCAGGCCCGCGTGGAGAAAAGCTGCCCTTGCAGGCTGGAGAAGGCCTGGAACTGCTGGATCAGGCGGCCACTGGCCGCGGGCCCGGCCGGGGCATCCTGCTCGGCCTGGCGGATGACCGAGTCCCGGTACTGGCGGAGGATGCCCCGGATGGTGGCGCATGCCTCCAGCACGGACCGCCGCTCCGGGGCCACATTCACCGTGCCCAGCGAGTGCAGTCGAAGGACGTCGGACCCGGGGGCGGCGGCGCCGCAGGCGGCGCCAGGCGCGTCGGCCGGCGCCGTCGCCGTCACCGCCGCCGACCGGCCGCGCCGCTTCGACGCCGAGCAGGGCCCATCGCCAGGGTGCGGGCGCTTGCCGCCTGCCAGGCGACCCCCGGGGCCGGTCGGGGCCGGGCCGGCCAGCTGCCCGAACGACTCGGCCAGCGTGGCGCGGATCCCGGCCAGGAGGGAGTCCGCGCATTTGGGGTCCGGCTGCGAGGGGTCCGCCTCGTCGGGGGGCAGGTCATCCGGCACATTGGACGAGGACAGCAGCGCCAGCAGCGGGGTGTCGTCGGGGAAGAGGG